CGCGAACGGCCGCAGGACTAAGTGACGCGTGACTGTCCCTCCTGAGCACGGTGTTTGTCGCATGTCTGGGTGTGACAAGGTTTCTTGCCCTTTTGGGTCCTGGGGGCTGGATTTTTTTTTTTTAGAAATTAAAAAGAAATAATGAAAAAAAGAATGAGTGTCCAACTTTTGTAGCCCAGGCAGACGTTCCGTTTTCAGTTAGAGGATGGAACTAACGGGAAGGAATCGATCGTTTTTGTTCCTATCGTGCTAAAGTGACTTAAAGTTGCTTTTCCTGGTATAACCGACATTGGTTTTTCTAGGGGAGCCCCTCTGGATCCAGCCGTAGCGGAAAATGTTTCGGAAGGGCAAAAAACGACACAGCAGCAGCAGTTCCCAAAGTAGCGAAATCAGCACCAAGAGCAAGGTAGGGGCTAGAATTGGCAAGAGCGCGAATTTTGTGTCTTCCATAGTGCATGAGGGACCATAGCAGACCTACTGATAGTCTTCAGACTGGGTGTGCTGTAACGTTGTTTTTGCACTAGACACACATTCTGTGCTTGATTTAATTTAATTTGGGTAGACTTTCTGAAATTCTTAAATCCACTGACCCAGGTGGAACAGGACCTGGAAGTGGTCTCATTGAAACAAACACCAATTTTTAAAGTTTTTTTACGTGATATAAATTGCATGCAGTTAAGGGGCTGGACTACTTGGCTTCCAGGTTTTGTGGCGTGCGCGCGTAGCTATAATTCTACACTAACACGCACCACGCTTTGTATTGTGCTTAATAGTTTTGTTGGTTTTCCTTTGTAATTTGCATTGAGAGTTATGTTGTGGTCCCCTGGCCCGTGTGTTAACTGGTGCTAGTCCCGATAGCTGCGGGAGCCCTGGGGTGGGAATCGGGAGCCTGCCTGGACTGGAGGTCTGGGGTGTGACTAGATGTAACCCAGGGTAAATCATTGCACTGCTCCGGGGCTCTGCTCATGTATTAAACAGGGTAGCACTACCTGCCTGCTTTCTGTGCAGGATTCATTGCAGGTTCAGTAGAGATAAGGTGAGAGCAAGGTATAGATTATCACACACGATATAAATTAAATATCAGGTGTCTCGCAAGGAGACAGGTGCTGCCTGTGATTCAGATTGGCAGTGGGGACACCTCCTTTATTCAGTGCTGTGGTGGGAAGAGCAGTTGGGATTATGTGTTGATTTAATGATAATAATTTGAATGTTTGGTAGAGAACTTGAGAGGCGAGAGTGCTTCTAATTATGTTTAAATACTGCGTGTGTGTTTGTTATTTCTCAGTCTGTAGACTCCAGCCTCGGGGGCCTTTCTCGATCCAGCACTGTGGCCAGCCTCGACACAGACTCCACCAAAAGCTCGGGTACAGAGAAGGGTCGGAGGAGGGTCGGACTGTTTATCGGCTGAGGCGCACATAGGTTTACGGGGCTGCAGGAGTTCTTGTGTATTTGGGGTTCCTTTCTCTCCTCTGCCATTTCTGATAAGAGTTTAGAAATGGCCTGAAATCTGGTGGAATGTGAGCTGGGGTGTGGTGGTTGGTGAAAGCTGCTGTCATGGAGCTTGGCTGGGGCACATGGCCAACTGCTCTCACCAGGCCCTAGAGCAGAAGCATGCGGGAAACATCGTGGTGACAGTTTAGTAGTTTCAAAATAGCTTTTTAAGAAACCGGGTGGCAGAGCATGGATTACACTGTTTGTGGGTGTAGGACAGATGCCTTGCTGAGGAAAAGGGTTAGGGAGCCGTTGGCCCGGAGATACAGCAGCTCGTAAACCCCAGCAGCACGTGGTGATTAAGCGTAGCGTCTGTCAGACACTGAAAACACTTTTGCAGCCGCCGAGATGAGCAGCTCTTTAGAAATGAAAAGATAGCTTCTGACCCAGCAACAGCTAGTGTCTAATTGGAACTACACCATATTCATTTGTCTAACTCCTTCCACTGCCCCTTTCGGGATCATAGACCTATCCTGTAGCAGGTGGGAGCAGGGAGAGAAGAAACACATGATGTAAAAGAGAACATAGAAGCATAAGGCCTATTACTTTCCAGATGCCTTTAAAATATTAAAGATGTGGCCGGGCATTTTATTTATTACATAAACATCACCTAAAAGTCATCACATCATTTCCCTTACTGTGGCAGACAGCAGAAACATTTGGTGATTTTGTAGCAACTAGGTTTTATAGCTCGCATAGCTCTTCAACCTCTTACCATTAGTTCAGGGACTTCCTGTCCAGCATTATTCCATCTGCACTAAAAAAAATAAATTAAAAAAAAATTGTCTTTTCTGGCTGAATGGTAGAGGTAGGCCAGGCTTCCTGAATCAGAAAAGCAAGTTCAGCGTTAACACGGTAAAGAGGGAAAAGAAACTAAAAAACAAATCAAGTGTCAGTTATGCATCAGGAAGGGACTCAGTCATTATCTAGTTGACGTTTTCTTTTTCTTGTTTGAAATGAAGGCTAATAATTCATCCCTATTTAGATTTTTATATTTAGTATATTGTAACTGAGGAAAAGGTTAATGAAATTTTAAGTTCTTTCCCATTCTATGAAAAAGTTTTGTACGTAAGGAAATTTAATTTTTGTTCCAGTCTGTTTCTGATTTGGGAAGGGAGTGAGGATCCACTCTAACAGCTATTTCTTTTGAGATTTTACCATGATTTTTCTTGCACCTTTAGGACAAAGCAACAGTAATTCAGATACCTGTGCAGAATTCCGAATAAAGTATGTTGGTGCCATTGAGAGACTGAAATTGTCTGAAGGAAAAAGTCTTGAAGGGCCACTAGACCTGATAAATTACATAGATGTTGCTCAGGTAAAAAAAAAAATAAAAAATTTGATTTTGTAAGATTCTCGAGAGTAAACTCATGGCTTTGGAGAAAGAGGGTGTCCAGTTCTTCTGCCATGTCCTGAAGCTGTGCTTTAATCATGGTTACAATGTTATCATCATGGCTACAAGGTTATCATCACAGTTACAATGTTACTGGGCACAGATGATTGAGTGGCATGAGAACAGACGCAGCTGGGGCTGGCTGACCTTGTTTAATGAGGAGCTGAGGGGCTGGTTACACACCATGGGTTTGTCTTTAAAAGTCTGGCAAACCTTGCTGTGTCCACGGAACTAGTTTTAGCTCTTTGAATAATCACATTCATAGTGGTGTTGACCTCACACATCTACTCATTCATACCATTTCCAGTAAGAACTGAGGTCCAGAAAATAGTAAGTAGAATTGTGTGTCTTTGTTTATTAGCAAAGGGGTAGCAGGGCAATGGGAAGATTCCCTTATCAGTTCAGAGTGTCGGTTACTCTGAAGACTCTATGTTCTCTGAAGTCATGGCAAGTGGGATCATTAAATGTTCCATATCCTCATGGAAGGAGTCTGATCTGTCTGAGGAACTCACCCAAACTTGCCATTTAACAGACAGCTCTTGGTGGTCAGGGCTAATAGTTAGTATCCCAGGTTTAGTTTGGAACATAGTCATTCCAACAGTGTGCACACAGCTAATCTCAGTAGAGTGTTATACTGAAAGATTGCTACTGTGTCCCCCACAAATTACACTGGGATCATTTTCCTCCCAATAAAGATGTTCAGTTTCTCCTGTCACTGTAGAAATTGGGCTTGTCAAAGTTATTGACCAGTAGCATGACTGTTATCCTGCCTTGTGATCCCTGGAATTGCCCTAACCTACTGTGAGAAATGATTGGCAGGAGATTACCAGGCATTGTGAGCACCCCAGAGTTAAGGCAGGTGGACATAGCTCATTTACCACAATCTCTTTAACGTAGGCAGGTGGTCCCATAAACATAATTACAGTCTGGAACATCTGCTGATTACCAACAGGGCCTTACTGTAGAGAAGACAAGGTAGGCAGTACTCTGACTTAGGAGAAGGAGCTGGACAGTAGGCTTGGAAACCGTCCAGCATTCTCTGCTGTTCTGCTTGTTTCTGAAGAGCTCACAGTACTAATTGATTCACTGGAAAGTAACCATTCATCAAGCGGTATTTACCTACCCAAAGCCCCGGGGCATGGGGATAACCACAGGCCTAACACCTGGGTACCAGGTAAAATGGCTGAGAAATGGTTCCCGTGGAGTGTGTCCTGACCAGGTGCTGACCTTAGTATAAACTGAGTATTTATAATGTAAATAGTTAGGCCTTATTGGGATCTGTGAGAAGTCTCTGAGCTTGTAATTAGGGTTAATCCCAGACAAAGGGATTGAACAATATATCTGGAGTACATTGATCTGAATTTTGCTCAGGTTTCTTGACTGTAAAAAAGGGGGTGGGGGTGGATTTTTCTGCCTCTTCAGAGAAATTCTTCCTGGGCTACTGTATGTGCTACATTTTTAAAAAGTTCGCAGTTTGTGATGGCCAGGTACTAACATTGACTAATCAGACAATGTAACAGTGTTTAATGTTGCCATGCAATTTATTTTTACCTTGAAGCAAGATGGAAAGCTGCCCTTTGTCCCCCCGGAGGAAGAATTTATTATGGGAGTTTCCAAGTACGGCATAAAAGTCTCGACATCCGACCAGTATGTGAGTGACTTACTAGGGAAAATGGAAAATGAGTTTCAGGTGTTGGGAGTTAAGGGTCCACCTGTAAGCAGGTCTGCTCCTGTTTGCAGAGCAGAGGGTTTGCAAACATTCCTGGCAGCTGGTCTTAAGTGGCCCGTTTCCTGGGGTGGATGGATAGGAGCTTCCTGACTCCCGTGGGGGGGCCCAGGCCAACACCCCAGTGCTGGCCAACAATGCATTTCAACTCCCATCCAGTTCAGAGCTGTCAGCCCGGGAGCTGGGCCTGGAGGGCCTGATCGTGAACTTAGATCCTCCTGCTCCTGCCTGTCTGGAGTTAAGGAGCCAGGTGTGAGCCCAGAGACGAGCTGCCCCCTAGCTGAGGTCCTGGAACATCCCTTTGGGTGAAGACCCTGTAAAACTGCCACCTCCCAGACCCGTGATGTGCCCTGCCCCGGCCTCACAGAAGGCTCTGCCCGGGAGCGTGTTGGTGTGGGTGAACCCGACAGTGCGTGTTTCTCACCCTCCGCAGGACGTTCTGCACAGGCACGCCCTCTACCTGATCATCCGCCTGGTGTGCTACGACCACGGCCTGGGGGCCGGGAAAAGCTTGCTGGCTCTGAAGACCACCAATGCCAGCAACGAGGAGTTCAGCCTGTGGGTGTATCAGTGCAACAGCCTGGTGAGGTTTTAGCCTTAACCTCGGTTAGTCTCTGTTCATCAAAGTGGCAAAACCAGGGACCCTTCACAGTCTTGTCAAAGGCTGGAGAGCTGCTCTTCGCTCTGTCGAAACCCTGGCAGAATAATGCATAAGTGGCCCTCGGCCAGCTGCCCAGCCCTCCTGCAGGTGGGAACTGTGCTGGGCCGGAAGCAGCACTCACCTGTGCCAGGGTCAGAGGCTCAGGGTAGACAAAGCAGGTGAGGGTGGGTGGTGTGTGCTCTGGGGCAGAGGCCCCTGCTTTTCCAGCGTGTTCTTACTGATTGTTGATGGTCCTTCCTGAAGGCCGTGGTCCTGTGTGTTACCAGCTCAGGTCTCTAAGGGGCATGGGAAAGGAGCATGTGGGACAAGCTCTGAGCCCGGCCAGCTGTGTGACCTGTAGGGTGAGGGGAGGTTTTAACAGGCAGATTTGTACCTTTGCTGGTCAGATTAAGCCAGGAACTGATTCATGAACTCTCACTGTGCTTTTTCGCTTAATGCAGGAACAAGCCCAGGCGATCTGCAAGGTTCTGTCCACCGTTTTCGACTCTGTGCTGACATCCGAGAAGGCCTGAGTCTGCATCACGCGAAAGTTGGGGCATCACGGGAAGGAGAGCTCGGCTGCTTTCTAAACAGTCCTGCCTCAGTCTGCAGCGCTGAGCTAGCATGAAAACCTGGAGTGGCCCCTTGCTCTAGATTTTCTGGAAAAAAAAACAAACGTAATGTATAAAACACCAGTCGTTTGTTTTCCTATTAAAATGTCTTATTAACAGTGAGTTAACCCAATGAAGTTATCTTCCCAGTGGGACTAAAAAAGAAACCTCATTCATGGCTTTTAAACACAAATAAGCTTAATCCCTTAAGGGCCCCAGGGGTGCACTCAGTGAGTGATGAACGTTAAGAACGTTCTGAGGGAGACAAGTGCGGTCTGCTCTGTGGCCCTCCCCACGACATGGTCTCTCTGGCTTGGAGCTCTAGACGGGACGAGGGTCCTGCTGGTTTCAAGCAGTGACACTGACAGCTCAAGACACAAAAGGCAAAACTTAAAAGTGTATTGTCGCCCAGCTGGGCGTGGCTCAGCAGTTGAGCTTCGACCTGGGATCCAGGTGATCAGGGCTCAATTCCCGGTCAGGGCACATGCCCAGGTTGCGGCTCCATCCCCAGTCGGGGGTGTGCAGGAGGCAGCCGATCAATGACTCTCATCATTGATGTTTCTCTCTCTCGCTCCCTCTCCTTTCCCCTCTCTGAAATCAATAAAGACATATATATATATTTTAAAGTATATTTGTCAGGATAACGGGCTACTCGGCCACAATCTTTATCTCAGAGTTAAGATACAGATGATTTGCCCATGTTAGAAGTAGTATTTAAGACTCGTACAGTAGGCCAGTGGATTCTCTTAAAGGAGTTTCTACAATGCTTGCAGGATTAAAAACAAAGATAACACCGTGTCCATTTAAAAGTATTTTATTTTTTTCTAGTCAAATGACTAGTTAACAGGGAGAGTAGACTCATTAAACATGCTCTAGTTATAAATCACTGCATTAACGACAATGAAAATAAGGATTGATTTAGGTTATACAATATATACAGTTGCGCTGCAACTGGACCAAAGTAACGGAGCGGAGGGATTGGGTATCGTACACTCAGCTCTCCACGCCGCACGCGCACTGCCCACGCTCAGCGGACCGCACAGTGCCTGTGGTCTGCACACGTTTCCGAGTCCGAGTCCCTGGAAGTAGATCTGATCGAAACGGCACCAAAATGCCAGAACCCTGCGGCTACGTTCATGAAACATAAACCTGAAATATAAATAGTTATCTACAATGGTTTCCTTCCTCTCACTTGCTTTTTTTTTTTTTTTTTTCCATTTGCAGAGAGCAAATAAACAGGAAAGAACATTAGCAGGAAAGGTTATAATTTCTCCTCTAGCAAGAGTCCTATTAATTACTGCACAATAGCACCACCAAGCTGTAGGCTGGAAAAATATTTCCTAGATATTTATGTACCAGGGAACCTGATAAATTGATCTGGGAATGGCATTCAAATGTGGACATGAATCCACCTTAATTCCTTATACATAAGCTGGCACCAAGGCGTCCAAAGGCTGACTGTAAGATACAGGTGCGGAGGACCGTGTGAAAATACGTGTAAGAAGTGCGCTGTGCAAAGTACAGGTTTGCTTTCTTAAATCTATGAGGCAATTAACTGAACAAAGCGTCCAAACGACCAACAATTAGTGGAAATAGATGTAGTGCTTAAAAAAAAAAAAAAAAAAGACTTTGATTCCACATCTACACATTTTACCCAGGACTTTGAATGGCAAGAGCGGTTGCCACACATCATAAAACATTCCAGTTTGTTCAGTCTTCCTTTGTAACAGCAACAGAAAACAAGATGCGATTAAAAACAAAAACAGAAGCTGTGCACTTATAGGAAGAGCCTTGCGTGACAGAGACAGGCCGCTTCACTCAAAGGTACCATCACAACAGCGCGACCAGGCCTGGAGCTCGCTCTCCGAGCCGACGCCAGCTCGCTCCTCCACTGTCGGTAAAGAGCCGAGTGGGCACCGAGTGGGCACTGTGTGCCTGTTTATCCTCAGAGCGCCAAATTTCCAACGTCCCTCCTATGAACTTACGCTCACAACAACTAAGTAGAGGTATGACAGTCAAGTCCATCAGACGAATGAATTCTGATTTTATCATATACAACCTAACCCCCCTCCCAGCCCAGGTAGCTTAAGTTAAAGAAGGGTATGAAGACTTCAGCAGTAAAACTGGGGCGTCCCGGAGCGTTTCATTACCCGGGACCTATAGATTTGTGATATGCTCTCGATTACAAACAAAGGGACGGATTAAATTTCAAGACAGTGTAACTACCATTCCTGTTGGTGTGGGAGATAAATACCAGACACTGAACTAAGACATTCTCATGAGCTAGGAAGGAAAGGCAGTGGGACAGTCAATAGGAAACAGCAGGTAGGTGGCCACAGCGGGGGCTGCCCCACGAGCTATCGGAGATGACGGAAGCTCAGGAAGGCAATTTCCACAACACCTGACGCATATAAACGAGTGGAAAGGGCTCCTTGGCAATCCATCACCCTTAGTTTTTAACCAAATTGGGGAAATGCGGTTGTACATCACCTGGAATGAATGAGCTGTGACTATCGTAAGCCATGAGAAGCTATTGGTAGTTCTGTTAGGTAGGATCGTTCACAACAGGATACACGCACACATGCAGGATACACTGATAGCTGCAACCTCACAAATCGGGTGGAAAGTACATTGCTAATGTGTCAGTTTCCAAGGTGCTTTAGATAAACATTGGGTGGCTTTCAAAGGAAATCTTAAAAAGGCATTAAAAAAAAAAAAAGTCTATAAAAGTGAACAGATAGCATTTAGTTTACTGGCTTCCTAAACAATAGTAAGGCCAGACGTCGCCGGCGTCGGGAACGGGCCGAGGAAAGCAGGAAGAATTTCTTTCCGAGCCTTAAAATGTTTTCAGGTTCAGCTAATTCTGTGGATTCAGGATCTTTGATTCTGTAGTTAAAATAACTTTTCAGTTCACCTTTTAGGTAATTTAGTTTTTCCTAATAAAAGTATAGCAATGTTTCATGAAAATCACAAATTATAAAAACAATTCGTTTGTACATATAAATTGCCTTTGAGTTTGAAAAACAGAACAGTGGCATCAGACAAGTGGTCTACCGTACAGTTCATGAAACTGGCATCTGACAAGAGTCTGGGTACCAACAACGAAACGGGAACATAACTGTTAAGTGTTTGTTCAGTAGCCATTTAGTCAGCAATAAAGTGCACAAAAGATACAGGAAACGCTCCTTTCCGACTGGGGTCTCCATCAATGTGGCCGATCTGAAACGAACAAAGTTTAGGTTGTTACAAAAATTCCAAATGGTGGAAACTTTGTAGCATCTGGAGAAAAAAACCCCACTTATTCAGAAGAATCTCCTCGGAAAAGGAATCACTTGGGTAAAGCACCTGAACTGGTTTCCCCTTTTCTCTGCCTCACTGCGGAGCGTGGCCCACCTTCCGCGAGGAGCTCCCGTCCCAGGCGTGGCACGTGTCTGCACAGAGCCCCGCCCCCGAGTCCCGGCTGCCTTGGGGACAGGCGGCTATCTGACCGCCACCCACACTTGCCTTTCTTTCCCTTTAATGGATGAAGAAATTGGGTGTCTGAGGTCTGTGAGCTGCAGTCACAGAAAGCGGCAAACGGGACGTGGCCCTATTTAAACGTAGCCACAGCCACGCATTTACAGAGACTTCAGGACACCCATTTATTTTTGCTCTGGGGAAATTATATAAGTTGTACGTCCAGTATGATCTGAACAATGTAAAATGTGCAGGTAATAAAAGTAGAAGGGATATCACAAAAATACGTTTTTGGGAGGGGGGAGAGCTGAGATGATGGGCAGCATCCGCTGGCTTCTTTCTACCTTTGCGCACTCCCCAGGTTTTGAAATGAAGGGGTGTTTCCTGCTGTCAGGAGGGCGCCCCATCCCGAGGGTGGGTTGTATGCAAATGTGGAAAACGGAGCTGCTTTGGGGCCTGAGGGGTGGGGGCACCGGGAGGGAGTCAAGAGTCCTGGCACGGTCCTCAGTCCTTGCGGGCCAGAGCAGAGGCCAGGCGAGCCTGCCCCTGGGGATTTGGGGCGCTGGCCCCTCTACTGTCCATGTCCTGTGTGGCACGGTTGATGGAGGGAGGTGTGGACCAACAGACACTCAGATCCCTCCAGGGGAAAGAGGCCACAGGAAGGCTCCGGAGCCCAGCCTGGAGGGAGGCAATGGTGGCCGGGCGCCGAGTTCACAGGCCCCGGAGCAGAGAACGCACAGCTCACACGGGGGGGCTCAGCTGGGGTGTCGGGAGCACTGGTCCTCGCCCTCGACAAAGCAGAGCAGTCTGCAGGAGTCCGGCCGGGGTCTTCACGACCACGGGGAACGACCTGAGCTCTACGTACAGAGCGGGGCGGGCGTTAGGATCTACTCTGCTCACACCTTGGGCAGGTTACTTAATCCCACTGTGCTCACTCTGTCCAGCCACCTCACCTTGGGGGCCTGCTGGACAATGTCCGCCCTGGGGCAGTGGTGACCTCCCTTTGACAGGCCAGGTGGCTCCGGCTTAGCGACATAAGAGACTTGCCCAAGTCACCCAGCCTGTGAATGCTGAGTCTGGATTCTTAGGGTCACCAGAGGCAGGGGAGGGCCATGCTCACTCCTTCCAGCTCCCACCTCGAGCTCAGCTCTCTCTACAAGCCCCATTCCAAATGGGCAACTCAGGGGGTGCACCACCCAGAAACTCGGGGCCTCCAAAGCACGGGAGCACCACCCAGAAACTCAGGGCCTCCAATGCAGGGGTGCACCACCCAGAAACTCAGGGCCTCCAGCCGAGGGGCCTCATTTCAGACCCTCGGATGCTCTGGAGACTGCAGCCCAGGTGGCCCGCCCACCCTAATGAGGAGGGGCCCCGGCTTCCTTACTGGGGGGTCACTCAGGCGCACTCAGGCGGGTGCACGCAGACGTGGAACCCGAGCCAGGCGGGCACAGTGGCCGGCAGGCCTGAGACGCTGGGGCAGGGGGGCCTCACCAGGGAGCGCCCCGCCAGGCGCGCAGGGGTTTGACACCCATCCTAGGCCGGCCCGACTCACCCACCACTCCAGGTCCTCTTCTCCGTCCACGACGATCACGTCCCCCTCGGAGAACGTCAGCTCGTCCGGGTTGTCGGCCACACAGTTGTAGAGGGCTTTGACCCGCTTGGGCTTTAGCTTGGTCTGGATGGGGGGGGTGGTGAGAGGTCAGAGTGGCAGGAAGGCACCTGCTCCTGGGCAGAGACCTGGGCCCAGGGGTCCCAACCACAGGCCTAGGAGCCCACAGGTGTCAAATCAAGATGGGGCGGCTCAGTGAGCTCAGGGGCAAGGGGGACCTGTAGGAGGGAGCCGGGGGGACTTGGAGAGCGGGGAGCATGGCAGCCGGTGCCTGATGTGTTCTTGGGGTGTCCTGGAGCTGCGGTCGGTCAGAGGGCCAAGCCCACCAGCTGTCGAACTCTGGGGTTGCATCCTGCCCAGATACGTATGGGGTACCCAGGAAGGAGCCGCCCCGCCCCCCGACTGGGGGAAGAGAGAGAGACCTGCTGCCTCTGGGCCCTGGGGGTCTAACCTGCTCGTTCCTGACCCAAGCAAAGCGGCAACACATAAGGGGCTCGCCCACTTACCGTCTGTGACTTCCTGGGCATGGGTGCCGGGGGCTGCAGGGCCGCGGTGCTGGACAGAGGACCCAGGGCTTCCATCCCAGGGAGATCCGCTGCTTTAGGGTGGAAAGGAATCAGCTCACAATACGCCCCACAGTCCCAACCGCGAGACAGAAACAATATAAAAGCCACAGCGCCAGGTCTGAAAGGCAGGTTTTCTGAGATTTTTCTCATGTGTGGAGGGAAAAGTTCCCCAGAGGCCAAACAGCCTTGTGACTTCCATACAGCCTTTGGAGAGTGTGCAGGTGTCAGAGTGACAGACGTGGCCACCTCGCACTGACCCGCAGATCCCGCCAGGGGACTCCCATCCCAGCCCCACCCCCCCAGCAGCAGCCAGGGACAGGGCTGCAGGACACAGGACCAAGCAGCTCCGGTGGCATCAGAGGCTCCACGGAGGGCGGGTGACTGCAGGTGGGGGGCAGCCGGGCCCTGATCACGGAGGGCAGGTGACTGCGGGTGGGGGGCAGCCGGGCCCTGATCACGGAGGGCGGGTGACTGCGGGTGGGGGGCAGCCGGGCCCTGATCACTGAGGGCGGGTGACTGCGGGTGGAGGGCAGCTGGGTCCTCACTCGGGGCTACCACGGCTGGACCCCACCCC